GCAACCCGGAACATATCCCAGTCCGCGTAATCAAAACGATCTTGAAGCATGTATTCTGATTGGTCAGACCAGTATTGAATAGACCTTAGCACGGGTACTTCCTGTTTGAGTTTCTGCCTATAGTAAGGGAAGAGCAGGATGGAGTCGTCATCTGATTTGCTGAAGGGAGGGCGGGGGAGGGCCTTGTAGCCATCCCGGAAGGGGGAGTAACAATGGTCGAGAGTTTTTGATGCGCGAGTACTACAGGCAATGTGTTGATAGAACTTTGGTAGCGTTTTCCTCAAATTTGCTTTGTTAAAATCCCCAGCTACAATAAATGCGGCCTCAGGATATGTGGTTTCCAGTTTACACAAAGTCCAGTGTAGTTCCTTGAGGGCCGTCGTGGTATTGGCTCGAGGGGAAATATACACAGCTGTGACTATAACCGATGAGAAGTCTCTTGCGAGGTAATACTGTCTGCGTTTGATTGTGAGGTATTCTAGGTTGGGTGAACAAATGGACTTGACTTCCTGTACGTTATCACAATCACACCATGAGTAGTTCATCATGAAACATATACCACCGCCTTTCTTCTTCCCGGAGAGTTCTTGATTCCTGTCTGCGCGATGTACTTTGAACCCAGCTGGCGGTATGGACAGGGACAGTATAGAGAGAGAGCCATGATTCCGTGAAACAGAGTATTAGGTCCTGGGTGCAATTATTAGGTCCTGGGTGCAAATTACTGATGTTTTCCCTGACAGGGCATTCAATTCCCACAGTCCAACATCTGACCAAAATCTGTTAGTTTTTTCAGTTGAACACACAAAAGCAGTCAGGATTAGATCTAATTCACTAATCACTGTTATTATACTTTTAATTCCAGTATCCATTTCTTTCTGTTGCAGAAATGTGATATTTTCATTCAGACTAATCTCCTGAAAGCTACTCAGTAGCTTCTATTAATTGAAAGAATTCCATCATAATGCACTGGGTATCATAATGGGTCTATTTGCTAATCCCTAAATAGAAAAGTAGGTCTAAGCATGAAGAGGATTTCTCTCTGTCTTGCTTTCCCCCCCCCGGTTACCTCTCTCCCTGGCCCTTTGTGTAAATGTGCTATCGATCTTGTTTTGATTAGGGTCACATTACTAACGGGCTCCCTGATGATTGTGGGTAATGGCGGTAGCGGCTTAGAATTCTCCCTCAGAAGGTGATGTCACAGAGAAGGTGTCTGATGCAGTGGGAAAACTGTAGGCCCGCCGGTGTAATGAGAGGTGGTGCTTTATAAAGCAGGTTCCAACACTTCTCCATTCTAGAATGGCTTCTTTTACATTCTAAAACATCTCCATTCTAGAATGGCTTCCTTTACATTCTAAAACAGCTCCATTCTAGAATGGCTTCCTTTACATTCTAAAACAGCTCCATTCTAGAATGGCTTCCTGTACGTTCTAAAATAGCTCCATTCTAGAATGGCTTCCTTTACATTCTAAAACAGCTCCATTCTCATTCCTTCCCCATTCAGAATAGGTTGAATTCATCATCAGCTGTCCTAGAAATTTAATATTTTACTGAGGTATATTAAGTAAGGAGAGATCCATTACCCTTTCAGCACCCATTCAGATCCATTACCCATTCAGTGGCCTCCAGCATGACCTTGATAAGGAAACCTGCAGCCGCTGTTCACAGTCAGGTGGAACAGACTGCCTTTGCTCTCTCTGTACCCTACTATGTCTTCCTGTCTGTCTGTCTCGTCCTCTCTCTCTCCCACCTTCTCTCTCCCATCCTCTCTCGCTCTCTCTCTCATTCCTCATGTGTTATTAAAACCCTAGTAGCAGCTCCCTGTCTGCTCTCTCCCAGTAAGGCCTGTTCCAGTGGCTTTGTGGCGTTGTACATTCCAGTCAGTGCCTCTTCTCTGCCCTAGCGAGGCGGATGCCCTTAATAAAATGACAACAGTAATTTGGCTTTGTCATTCGGGCATAGGGCTAGGCCGGGGCTCAAAAATACAGTGCTGTTGGAGGAGGAGGAGGCCGAATGCGTGTCGGATCTCTAATTCCCTTTTCTTCCTTATTTTCCAGAGAGATGCCTTTTCCATTAAGTCCAGGGTGGCAGGTCTATTTAAAACCAGCCACGACCCCACCCCTCATTCACACACACACACAGCCAGCCCTCCTAGACCCAGCCTGAGAGAAATAAAACATTAACATCAGGCCTAGATGAGAGAAAGAGGAGGTGGTGGGGGTGGACATTTTTATTAGATTGTCCTTCAGTTTTATTCAAATTATTTCAATCCCCCTTTCCTCTCCTTCCTCTCTTCCCCTCTCCCTCTTTGCTGCCTTCTTTCCTTCTAAATAACCTCAGAGGTGACATCCTTCATTCGGTGTAAAGCCTGAGATAGAGGAACAGAGGAGAGGTGGAGGGCTCCTCTGCTGTTCGTTGTTGCATATGCTGCCCGTTTAAACAGCATCTTGATGGAAACGTATTAAAATGAGCGATAATTGACGTAAAATATGACAGAGTGCTGTTGGCTTCCTCAGCTAAGCAAGGCGCCACGGTAACACTGAGGAGAGGTTGTTTCTGGGTAATGGGCCTGATTAATGAAGGATCGCTCACGCACACAAACCAACGCACGCAGCTGATTTTATGAAAAATGAATCCCACCTTGTCATCCCGACAAGCAAAGCTGCAGCCGGAAAAATATTATTAGTCGGGAATCATTATCAATAGCAATATTTTCAAACTCCATTATGCCAATCAAGGTCTGAATTGATTTAATAGATTTAGTTCCATTTGGCCCGTAATTGATAAATAATCAACATTTATCAATGTACTCGAGCCCATTTTCACTAACAATCAAGAAAGAGTGGTCCATTTATCAACTAACTGTGGCAGTTAAAAAATGTGGCAGTTAAACAGAGACCGTCAGATAAGCGTGGTGATCAGGCAGAGAAGGATGGCATGGCACTGTACTGTAGTAGACCCACAGATAACCAACACACAGACAGCTACACCGTACACATCTGGAAACAATGGGACATATTGGTTAGGTTACTATTATTTTACTTGGTGGTTAGTTTACATTTACATTTTACATTTTAGTCATTTAGCAGACGCTCTTATCCAGAGCGACTTACAGTTAGTTGAACGAGATCTCCTCCTCCTTGACATCATCAACTTTTCAGGGAAGTTAGGAACCAATATACACAAGCAGTTAGGAAAGCAAAGGCTAGCTTTTTCAAACAGAAATTTGCATCCTGTAGCACTAACTCCAAAAAGTTTTGGGACACTGTAAAGTCCATGGAGAATAAGAGCACCTCCTCCCAGCTGCCCACTGCACTGAGGCTAGGAAACACTATCACCACCGATAAATCTACAATAATCAAGAATTTCAACAAGCATTTTGCTACTGCTGGCCATGCTTTCCACCTGGCTACCACTACCCCGGCCACCAGCTCTGCACCCTCCGCTGCAACTTGCCCATGTCGCTCTTGCTGCTGGTGAATCAGATCCACCTCTACGCAGACGACACCATTTTGTATACATCTGGCCCTTCATTGGACACTGTGTTAACAAACCTCCAAACGAGCTTGAATGCCATACAACACTCCTTCCGTAGCCTCCAACTGCTCTTAAACACTAGTAAAACTAAATGCATGCTCTTCAATCGAACGCTGCTGGCACCCGCCCACCCGACTAGAATCACTACTCTCGACGGGTCTGACCTAGAGTATGTGGACAACTACAAATACCTAGGTGTCTGGTTAGACTGTAAACTCTCCTTCCAGACTCACATTAAGCATCTCCAATCCAAAGTGAAATCTAGAATCGGCTTCCTATTTCGCAACAAAGCCTCCTTCACTCATGCTGCCAAACATGCCCTCGTAAAACGGACTATCCTACCGATCCTTGACTTTGGCGATGTCATTTACAAAATAGCCTCCAACACTCTACTCAGCAAATTGGATGTAGTCTATCACAGTGCCATCCGTTTTGTCACCAAAGCCCCATATACTACCCACCATTGTGACCTGTACGCTCTTGTTGGCTGGTCCTCACTACATATTTGTCGCCAAACCCACTGGCTCCAGGCCATCTATAAATCACTGCTAGGCAAATCTCCGCCTTATCTTAGCTCATTGGTCACCATAGCAACACCCACCCGTAGTATGCGCTCCAGCAGGTATATCTCACTGGTCATCCCCAAAGCCAACACCTCCTTTGGCCGCCATTCCTTCCAGTTTTCTGCTGCCAATGACTGGAACGAACTGCAAAAATCTCTGAAGCTGGAGACTCTTATCTCCCTCACTAACTTTAAGCATCAGTTGTCAGAGCACCTTACCGATCACTGCACCTGTACACAGCCCTTCTGAAATTAGCCCACTCAACTACCTCATCCCCATATTGTTATTTATTTTGCATTTGCGCCCCAGTATCTCTATTTGCACATCATCTCTTGCACATCTATCATTCCAGTGTTAATACTAATTGTAATTATTTTGCACTATGGCCTATTTATTGCCTTACCTCCATAACTTGCTACATTTGCACACACTGTGTATATATATATATTTGACTTTATATTTTGTTTTACCCCATATGTAACTCTGTGTGGTCCTCTGTAGCTCAGCTGGTAAAGCACGGCGCTTGTAACGCCAAGGTAGTGGGTTCGATCCCCGGGACCACCCATACACCAAAAAAAAATAAAATGTATGCACGCATGACTGTAAGTCGCTTTGGATAAAAGCGTCTGCTAAATGGCATATTATTATTATTTATTATTGTTTTTATCGCACTGCTTTGCTTTATCTTGGCCAGGTCTTAGTTGTAAATGAGAACTTGTTCTCAACTGCTTTACCTGGTTAAATAAATAACATCTTGGGGCCTGAGATGATTTAGCTTTTGGTGTTTGTGTTTTTCTGTGTGTTTTTAACTAATCTAGTAGGCATAAACTTTGATTTGTTGTTATTGTGGGTTGTGTTGAATGAAACTATGCTGTGTCTTGTCGTCTGTTATTGTCGCCCCAGGCTGGTGAAGGAGAAGGTAATGTACGTCAAGGAGACCAAGCAACAGGAGGAGAAGATTGAACGACTAAAGGCAGATGCCTGCGACGAAGAGGCCGACTCCGAGGCCAAGCATGTCATCAAGAAACAGGTGGGTGAAAACACAGGAGAACTAAGGATGCGTTTACATTCAGTTGTAAACACATACTTTACATACACAGGCCAACACATACTTGACATAAATAGGTAGGCCAACACTTACTTTACGTACATAGGCCAACATTAAGTTGCTTTTATAGCTGTATAGTAACGATGTTATAACTATAGTAACAACATTGCATTAAGTTGTTACATAGTAATTTAGTATTGCTTTGTGGTTGCATATTTTAGAGCTATTTTTATTACACGATGTTAAAATGCTGTACAATGTTACTTTGTTACTATACATGTATAAGAGCAACTGCATGGAAAGTGTTACCAAGTGGTTTAAAAGTGACGCGTTATAGCCTAAATCACATTGAATGTTTTTCTTGGTCAAAATGTTATTTGTCACCTTCATTGCTAAATGTGGAAGCATTTCTAATGTGCTTTATTTAACAAGCCTATTGTCAAATAGAATTATGGTACAGTAGAGAACAGACAATGACAGTAGCCCTACATTCACTTTAATGAGGTCAGCTTAGTATCATTATGAAGAATTAGTGTTGGGGGTCGTTAGCGATTTAGTCATTTGCTGATTTAATGACATTATGTAACTTTGGAGGAGTTTGATAATTACTGACACATGCTGGTAATTTACAGCCGCTAGGAGATCGCTGGCCCATATCCTCCTCATCTCCCTCGCTCTCACTCCTTCTCTCCCTTCATAATATCCCCTGCTTAGATTAGAATACGAGAGGGATGAGATTAGAATGAGAGAGGGATGAGATTAGAATGAGAGGGGGATGAGATTAGAATGAGAGGGGGATGAGATTAGAATGAGAGGGGGATGAGATTAGAATGAGAGGGGGATGAGATTAGAATGAGAGGGGGATGAGATTAGAATGAGAGGGGGATGAGATTAGAATGAGAGGGTGTTGGACGATAAAGACCCACGGTGGCTTGTGTCCTCTGTGTGCCCTACCTCACAACCTTTGTTTTCATCTCAGCTATTCTAGGGATTACACCTTGTGGAGAGGATCATCTGCCATGCTTTCATGCACAATAGGCAGGATGGATGGATGGAGATCAGGATGGATGGATGGAGGGCAGGGTGGAGGGCAGGGTGGGTGGATGGATATCTGGATGGATGGAGGCTGGATGGATGCAGGGCAGGGTGGATGGATGGATGAATGAATGGCAGGATGGGTGGATAGGAGGGCAGGGTGGATGGATGGAGGGCAGGGTGGATGGATGAATGAATGGCAGGATGGGTGGATAGGAGGGCAGGGTGGATGGAGGGCAGGGTGGATGGATGAATTAATGGCAGGATGGGTGGATAGGAGGGCAGGGTGGATTAGTGACATCTATTTTTTAATGCTTCTAAGTGTCGTCTTTATCCTGCTGCTGATGGGATCATTCCACTGTTACTGGGAGGGCACCATGACCTCCATGACCGCTACCAACTCACCGTGTATGTGTGTGCATCACTGCCTGTGTCTCTCCACCTCACCTCTGGAGTTGCTTAGCAGTGTGTGAGGTGTCTGACTAACAGTGTTAGCTGAGTCCTCTGTTCTCTTTAGGGTGCCAGTCAGGGGAATTCCCCATTCGCTTTGCCTTTCCAGAGTATCTCAGACCCAGACATCTCAGGCTCTTACTTAGCTTCCCCATAGGCGTAGTAATACCTCTCCATGCATGATCACCGTGCTGCTACCTGCCCTAGGCGAAGTAATACCTCTCCATGCCTGATCTTCATGCCGCTACCTCTCTGCTCGTCTTCTCCACTCACCCAGGTGTGCTGGAGGCAGAGCGAGGCGAGGACCCCTGCTGCTGCCCAACTCCCTGCCTGATCAATAACTATATAACATTTTTCACGCAGGCAGAGAGCTTGTTGTGGGATGTTAACCTTAGCACAGCATATGTGGGATACTAAACCAAGACAAAGCCTACAGTGGCTTGCGAAAGTATTCACCCCCATTGGCATTTTTCCTATTTTGTTGCCTTACAACCTGGAATGAAAATGGATTTTTGGGGGGTTTGTATCATTTGATTTACACAACATGCCTACCACTTTGAAGATGGAAAATATTTTTTGGGGTGAGACAAACAAGAAATAAGACACAAAAAAACTAACTTGAGCATGCATAACTATTCACCCCCCCCCCCCCCCTCCCCCCCCAAAGTCAATACTTTGTAGAACCATATTTGCAGCAATTACAGCTGCAAGTCTCTTGGGGTATGTCTCTATAAGCTTGGCACATCTAGCCACTGAGATTTTTGCCCATTCTTCAAGGCAAAACTGTTCCAGCTCCTTCAAGTTGGATTGGTTCCGCTGGTGTACAGCAATCCTTAAGTCATACCACAGATTCTCAATTGGATTGAGATCTGGGCTTTGACTAGGCCATTCCAAGACATTTAAATGTTTCCCCTTAAACCACTCAAGTGTTGCTTTAGCAGTATGCTTAGGGTCATTGTCCTGCTGGAAGGTGAACCTCTGTCCCAGTCTCAAATCTCTGGAAGACTGAAACGGGTTTCCCTCAAGAATTTCCCTGTATTTAGCGCCATCCATTATTCCTTCAATTCTGACCAGTTTCCGAGTCCCTGGAAAAACATCCCCACAGCATGATGCTGCCACTACCATGCTTCAGGGATGGTGTTCTTGGGGTGATGAGAGGTGTTGGGTTTGCGCCAGACATAGTGTTTTCCTTGATGGCCAAAAAGCTCAATTTTAGTCTCATCTGATCAGAGTACCTTCTTCCATATGTTTGGGGAGTCTCCCACATGCCTTTTGGCGAACACCAAACGTGTTTGCTTATTTTTTTCTTTAAGCAATGGCTTTTTTCTGGCCACTCTTCCGTAAAGCCCAGCTCTGTGGAGTGTACGGCTTAAAGTGGTCCTATGGACAGATACTTCAGGGTTATCTTTGGTCTCTTTGTTGCCTCTCTGATTTAATGCCCTCCTTGCCTGTTCTGTGAGTTTTGGTGGGCGGCCCTCTCTTGGCAGGTTTGTTGTGGTGCCATATTTAATGGTGCTCCGTGGGATGTTCAAAGTTTCTGATATTTTTTTATAACCCAACCCTGATCTGTACTTCTCCACAACATTGTCCCTGACCTGTTTGGAGAGCTCCTTAGTCTTCATGGTGCCACTTGCTTGGTGGTGCCACTTGCTTAGGGGTGTTGCAGACTCTGGGACCTTTCAGAACAGGTGTGTATATACTGAGATCATGTGACAGATCATGTGACACTAAGATTGCACACAGGTGGACTTTATTTAACTAATTATGTGACTTCTGAAGGTAATTGGTTGCACCAGATCTTATTTAGGGGCTTCATAGCAAAGGGGGTGAATACATATGCACGCACCACTTTTCCGTTATTTATTTTGTAGAATTTTTAAGCAAGTTATTTTTTTCACTTCACCAATTAGGACTATTTTTTTACATGAAATCCAAATAAAAATCAACTTAAATTACAGGTTGTAATGCAACAAAATAGGAAAAACGCAAAGGGGGATGAATACTTTTGCATGGCACTGTATTTCTAGGAACCACACAGTGGTGCTACTGAAGCTGTAACACTTTGTTTTTCAACCTTTAATACATTACGATCTAAATCCGTGTTTTTCAACCTTTAATACATTACGATCTAAATCCGTGTTTTTCAACCTTTTTGATAAACTTTTTTTTTTTTTTGCTTGGAGGACCCCTTGAACAAAAACTAACACAACTGATATGTTTATAAATGGTGTAGATGATGATGGTAATGATGAAGATAGTAATGATGAAGATGGTGGTGTTAATTAATAATCTGTGTTTTCTCTGTGTGTTTCAGTTGGAGGTTCTACAGGAGTCCAAGATGATGATTCCAGACTGTCACAGGCGTTTGACCATAGCACACGCAGACCTGTCCCAGATACTAGTAAGCACTGCGCTGTTTTTTAAAAATCATGTTTATTTTACCGGTGGCCAGTATACTCTGTTAGGAAGGAAGAAACGTTGAGAGGAAGCAGACAATCCTCCTTTGTCGTTGTTGCTACAGGTTTATCCATGATGTTAGTATTTTTGGCTTCCATGTCGGTGTGTGTGACTGTCTAAAGTGACACGCTGATCATGCAGGTGTGTGTGACTGTCTATAGTGACACGCTGATCATGCAGGTGTGTGTGACTGTCTATAGTGACACGCTGATCATGCAGGTGTGTGTGACTGTCTATAGTGACACGCTGATCATGCAGGTGTGTGTGACTGTCTATAGTGACACGCTGATCATGCAGGTGTGTGTGACTGTCTATAGTGACACGCTGATCATGCAGGTGTGTGTGACTGTCTATAGTGACACGCTGATCATGCAGGTGTGTGTGACTGTCTATAGTGACACGCTGATCATGCAGGTGTGTGTGTGACAGATCTAAGAAGCCAGAGAAAGGAACACCCCCCCCCACCTCCACACACATGCATGTCTCAGGGTCCTCACAATTAGCAGAGAGCAGGAGTCAGGCAGCCGTGGCCTCACTGAGGGACACGTGCAGAAGGGAGAGGAGGAGAGAGGAAATCACAGATGACTCCTCTGAGGGGAGGGGAGGGGGGGGGGGGGGGGGGGGGGTGACAGGGTCCCTCTCCACCTCCTACCAAAGCCCACTCTCACCCCTTCCCTTCCTACACACACACACACACACACACACACACACTCATTACAGTTCATTAGCAGTTCTGTCACTGCGGTGGCCACCATAGGAACCCAGCAGCACTCGATTAGCACAGATGTGACCCACACACACACACTCTCACATACACTTTTTTTTTTACTGACTAGAACCGTTCCACTGTGAAATCAATATGTGGATTGTTAATGTCAATGTTAATTTTATTAAAAATGGGCTAGGAAAAGGGCTTTTGTATGATAATTTGGTGAATAGCCATGTGAATTGACTGTGGATTTTTTTAATGGCTAGGTTAACTGGGTTGATTGTAGATGATAAGTTAGATTTGGTGTAATGCTATTTGATGGGTTGGTCATTTTAAAGGTGTGTGTGATAGGGTTAGTATTGATATCCTGTATGTGCTTGTGTTTGCAGGAAACAGAAGAGGACTTGGCTGAAGCAGAGGAGTACAAAGAGGCCAGGATTGTATTGGATTCAGTGAAGCTTGAAGGATGATGTTCTCACTCTGTAATGCACTACTTAAATGTCCATTCCATTCATCTGCGCTTGTTTGGAAACGCAGACAAACAAAATAGTTCAGTGTCTTTTTCTCTTTCTCTCCCTCTTTTTTATTATTTTTTTTCTACATTTGAAAACAACGTACAGTCTGATCTCGACATTCTTCTCCAGAGTGTACAATCTCACACAAGCAGCAAATAAAAACGTGTTTATTTTCTTACCATGGGGGTTTGCTTGGTTTCTTCAACTAAACAGCTGAAAATGAAGCCTGATTGTATTGTTTAACTCATATTAAAGCTATACAATAGTACTGTTGCGTCTTGCATCAATTGATTTAGAAAAAGTGTTCCTCCAATTGTCTTGAATGGAGATAGGATTCTTCTTGATGATGACTGATACATTTTAATCATTTAGCAGATGCTCTTATCCAGAGTGACTTACAGTTAGTGAGTGCATACATTTTTCATACTTGCCCCCAGTGGGAATCGAACCCACAACCCTGCCGTTGCAAGCGCCATGCTCTACCAACTGAGCTACATGGGATACAATATTTAGCCTAGTATAATGTTTATTTGTTCATAAGAATCAAGATGAGAACAACAGTCAATATAAGTGATGGACCTAAGAACATCCTAATGAGAGACAGGAGCTAGCTACACCATATCATATTGCATCCAACTGTATATCATCATATAACATCCGTCCTATTGTATGTGTCATGGGATTGGATAGAGCGAAATTGGCATGATGCCTGTTTGTGGAGGTAAGAATCAGGACACCGACCTCCGCTGGTCAACGAAGTCCATGCAGCCTAGTGATACCATCAGCACTGCCATTGCTAACCAGACATAGCCTACAGTGGATCTGACCGGCTGTCTGCGAAAAGACCAGTATGCCTAGTTGTTGGGCATCAAGTTACACTGTGGCTTGTCCAGAAATTCACATTGCTTATTTGGTCCACAAATGTAGACATTTAAAAAGCTATAATTCAGGATTTTATTTGGGTTAACATAATAGTTTTTATGTTCCACTGTGGAATTGGCCAAATAGCCCGCCAACCAAATAGAGGAAACACATTCATTTCATACATAGGCTATTTAAGTTTAATTTAATTCCATTAGTTTAATTTGTTTGTTTTTTAATTTAAGTCTATATAACCCTAAACTGCTTGAAGATGTTTGATGTAGCCCAATACATTTTTTCAAGCCGACAAACATTTATTAGGTTGTCAAGCCTGTTAATATTCTTGGATATGAATAATATAATTTTATTCTAAATGTTAAAACTCATGGCCTATTTTTTCTCTAAGTAAGTTCACCCTCTTTCAAGGATAAGGCACCCAAGACACCTAAATGCCAGTCTAATAATACAAGACAAAAAACATGACTGGGCAGACAAATTAAGGTTACATTTGGCTTATTTTACAGATTTCGATCATTATCGGGATCACCCCGAAGTCTTATTAATGCGCTAATGAGGCGCGCGTCTCTCCGTGACATCCAGCCGCTCCATCTCGTTAAGGAAATCGCTCTTCAATGCTGATTATTTTATTTGGAACCATAATTATATTTATTTCGGATATATCACGGTCTAATCGAGTCCGCGCAAAGGGCAGCGGCCGCTAATTGAAGCATGAGATGCGGTGGCGGTCCGCGGGCGCTACCTGGATTTGTGACCAAATGTCGCGGCAAAGCGATGCACGTGATGGATGTGGCCCTGGCAAGCACAGCGCCTCTCTCTTTTCTCGCTCCTCTTTCCTCCCCAGAACTCAAAGACAACAATGTATTACTTCTAATCCCCCGACTGTCACCAAATCACCTGCACGAAACAAGAATCTAATTTGTTAAACTGGCATTTCTGCAGATGGAAGATCGATTTAGAATTCTCTAATTGAGTGAATACAGACGCCCGATGAATTAGATTCACCCTGGATGAAGAGGAGGAGAGGAGAGGAGAAGAAGAAAAAGAAGGAAAAAGAGTCAACAAAAACCATCCTCGGTGTTATCGCTCTGCAAGGTGACCCGAGACGAGAATGCACGCGGGAGAGTGAAGGGCATGGGCGGTGGTGACGGGCAAAAGGCAACACACGGTGTCTCTAGCATGAAACTACCCGTGCGCGAGCGAATGCCCAAGGCCCCCGGTGGAAAGAGAGAGGTGCACTGGAAATCTCCAGTTCCAATAGGCCTACTGCGTATAGAATTACTTTTGTTTTTCTTGTGGTTTTATTAAAAGTCACTCCTCATCTCCAGAGCGCGTGAAAATGTCTACTTTCCACTCAGATGCGCTGCATTAACTTGCAGGGGGCGAATTGGTTTGTTTGTCTATTTGTATTTCTATGCTGGATAAGATTGATGTGGGCTTTATTATGGGAATCTCAGCCAGGGAGAGAAGCCACTGCTTTGCTCCTTGTTGTTTACCCTAATTACAGCCTATTGAATTCAGCGAAATGAGGACCTTTATCTGACACACACACACACACGCTGTGTTAAATTATGGGTTACAATTTCGTTAGAGAAATACATAGTAAAGGTGTTTACATAGCCTAACACCGAGATTCCTTCGAATAAAAATAAATAAAGTAATAACAACATTAATAAAGACAATCATAATAATAATGTTTCACTTTGGCACCATATTGAATTGCCTTATAGACAGTTGGCACAAAAATAAATGTATTGTCGGCCTATTGGCTTTCGAGTCTATTATTTCAATATTTTGCAGCATAGGTTGCTGTTTATTTGCTACATTTGTTCGTGATGAACTCGTGATTTGATTTTATAACATTTACTCAAAGGCTAATAATAAACAATAGCATAGGCCTATTTGAGACATACCATTTTTAAAACAATTTCTGATGCTTTTGACTGATTGTATTAGGCCTATTATTATTATTATTATTATTATTATTATAGAAAGGGGATATGCCTATGGTTACACAGTGTAGTCCTACTTGCAACATTCCACCGGAGTAAACCTATACTGAAAATATACCTTTTGTTACACCAGGAAACGGTTACATTTCTTCCCACAAATGAATTTGATTAAAAAAATTGTTTTACACCATGTTTCGCCAATAAACCTTAAAATCCCTGTGCTTAGTTCTGGGGCAGGTATTGCCGTACAGAGATTCAATATATAAATGTAGGTATTGTATGAGGTAAACTAGGTGAATAAATTGCATTAGAGGGAGCCAATGAGTTTTCAGCCTAGTTGTTGTTTTTCTCCTCTGTCTCTGGGCAACAATCTGAAACCTATTTATAAGGGGAAAATCACTTCATCCGCCTAAAGAAGTCCATCGTTTGCCCTTTACAGCAGTGTAGAAAGATCAGACAAGGTGCATCAAAGAGCGTGGAATTTAATATATGGTAACTTTCTGCACAAAGCATTTTCATTAAGGCTATCTGTATTTTTGTACATGATATATCCTTAAAAGTGCAGTTTTATTCCCATGCCTTGGAGCACCATGCCAATGCACCTGCCTCTTGGCGTTTTCCCGGGTTAAATGTGAGCTGGCTCGCGGAGAGGAGTCATTCACTTTTGTTGTACAGCCATAAAGCCGTGAGCTATTGAAAACTCGTAAAATGAAGCACGCAATCAATCACACCGCGCAATGGTGCTGTTCTGACTGAGCAGCGAAGACCAAACAAAGTAATGATTTTAAATGATCGTTATTGTTTCAGCGCACAGCCCAAGACAGCCTAAACTGACACATATAAACTGGTAACATATTGTATAATATTATAACGATAATATGTTTAAATCTCGTTGATGCTGAATATAGCAAATAAAATATGTCTGTTCCTCAAATAAAAAGTGGGAAAGAACAACACGAACCCGGACATCTTGAATTACGCACACATTCTCTGCTCCGGCGCTTTAATCCACGTTCTGTGACATTTGGGATTTGAAAACGCAGAGGAACAGACACTTTTTCCCAAATCGAATCCACTCTTCTCCCTTTTTTCATTTTCAGTACGCGCGGTATAATAAGCTACCCTGTGGTTGCGTGGCGCGTGAGCGATTGCTGGTGACCCCGTTGTGTCCGAGATTCTCTCGCGCTCCCTGGTCGGTCGTCCCACCAGATTGCCACTAGATAAAAGACGAGCCGAGCTAATTCAACTCGAGATGGGCTGGGAAAGGACCTCAAAGTGCCCCAAGTTTACGCTAGGACGCATCCTTTGTGTTACTTCCAAAAAGGCACCATTCACTCCACAACAAATGAACTAGCTTTCACAAAACGTTCCAACAGCTGTAGGGAGCCTGTTGGATTCTTTTGTGTCCCTTATATATTTTGGGAACTTGGTGTGTGACAAGAACCTAGTGTGCTAATTGGTATAATGGCGGTACATTTATAGACTACATTAGATACCTGTTTATAGCCTACCTGCTTTGTCTGACTGAAATGAGTAGGCTTAATTTGGGCAGATTGGATGAAAAATCAATACCATGAAAAGCAATTGGCCAACAGCAAAGTGTTTAAAGCATGATTGTGTCTGTTCTAGTGCGACAGTTTGCAATCCACGCCTTCTGGGAGATCCGCTGTCTCTATGAAAGGAAAACATCCTCAGATCATGTTCAGCCACAACTCAGTTTCCACTTTCCGCCGAATTATGCACTTAATTCGCTCACATATCATGTACAATAAGTCCCTCACTGCATGACAGTCGAGCCTAAACAGTAGTAAATCAACTCTAATTTATACTGATTTTACTCTAATAATTGTAATAAAAATAGTATAGATTTGGCACGAATTTCATAAAAGCTTAATGGTGTTGAAAATTACTCTGGTTAGAAATATATCGCTAATCTAAACTGTTGTTGGCTGAATGGGGAGTAAGAGGCATTAGCAGAGGTCGAATTCGTCTCCAAAAGCCAGGACTGACTAGGACATGTTGGATAAAAGAGGTCGAAAATGTCTGGGGAAACTAAGAATATCCACGGCCATTCACAGTTTAAAAATGACAAAGGACCTTGCTATTAAAACACAAATCATTAAGCCACATCAACAGACACATGACATAAACGTAACCTTGACTTGGTTATAAGATGTGGTGTAAAATGCACACTAAGAGCTTTCATACTCGGACTTTGTATGCTTAACCTAATTCGAGGCAGTTATTTGTGTAGGAAATATGTTGTGTCATTCACACGCCAGAAACGAGTCTAATATGTTTATGTACCACAGAGGCTGTTAACTTGGGTAAATCGGTCGTTGTTCAAACCTGGGGCTCATCCATTATAGAGAGAGGCAGCAACAGCACGCACAATTAAACAAATACTGCGCTGATCCAGTTTATCAAATGGGTCGAAGCTTTCACAGATATTAAATCAGGTGATTTTATTTGATATCATTTGGAGTTGAAATCAAAGCCAATTACAGAAATGAGGAGAAATGAACTTGTGAATTTGGCTGGATTGGAGAATTTGAGTGGCTGGCTGCTCTGGGGTCTCGAGGTGGCTGACATATCTCGAGCTTCAAATCTGATTGGCTCTCCTTTAAAGAAGCTCATGGGTTCATTGGGTTGTTAGGCGCCTCCCCGTTTCTCTAAAGGACATTATAATGCAAGGAACCTCCTTTTTTAACCACAAACAGAATTTGCTTTTATTTAGGCTATATATATATTTTAAACAGGTTAAAGTCATAGAGATTTTTTTGAAATAGCATTTCGCACTGGAGCGGTGCGCAATGCTTTCGCACGCCGACCTCCTGGATGCTCGCCTCGGTGAGTTATCGTCGCCAAACTCCGGTCTTCAACTCTACTGTAAGCTGGAGGCACTTCTAATCTAAATCAAACAGAGAAAATTGACAATTTGTTTCTTATTGTATCTTAATGTCATTTAAGTGAGCTAATTCATTGGAAAAGTAATTATTATTATATTACTGCGTAATTTGATTTAACCGTTTTCTAAATTATTGATGTGATCAAATGGAATTAAGGAGTAGCCTAGATTAAACGTTGTAGCCTATGATAGTTATGTGCTTGTTTAAAGGACATTTAGTGTCTGGTTTTGTCCATAATCTAATGTCCACTTCGATGGTTTCACCATGTTTTTAGAGAGCATTTTGTAAAATAACAAAATGTTCAACCAATTCTCTGCATGCATGACAAACTATTCTTCCCTTGCCAGACTTCGTTAGCTTCATAAAAGTGTCACTTTCGATACACTAACTAAACAATGTATTTAAAAAATATATCGTACTAATTTACATTTTTTCTATAACACAGGGTATTGCATTAGCCTATACAAAATAGATGTAACATTGCCTTTAAATTCTGACCGGGTGTTGTCTATCCAGGGATGAAGGATGCCGCGGCAGAGCTTCTGGGTCACAGGGAGGCTCTGAAGTGCAGGCTAGGCGGTGGAGTGGGACCTGACCCCGGCCACTCCGGCGAGCTAGCCCCGGGGCCAGACACCGTGGAGGGGACCACCATGCTCCCTGGAGACGATATCAACAATGGGGGATCCAACCCTTCCGGCGTGCAGGCCAACAGTAAAGAGCAACAGGACAAGCAGCAGCAGAATAACTCCAGCCAGTCCGGAGGAAGTCAGAGTCAGAAACAGAAGCGACACCGGACCCGGTTCACCCCGGCACAACTTAACGAACTGGAGCGCAGCTTCGCCAAAACGCACTACCCAGATATCTTCATGAGGGAGGAACTGGCCCTACGGATCGGCCTAACGGAATCTCGCGTTCAGGTAACGGAATCTCGCGTGCAGGTTTGTTTGTGATATGGATTGGGAAATGTATGTCTCATAGCAAATGATTTTGAAGCAAGTAGCCTATAATAACACTGTAAGAGTAGTGTACTAATACTGCGGGAAATTATGTGATGAAATGTGTATGTAATTTGCCCTCTTAACCCAACAAAATAATGTAAATATTAACCGTCAGTGGGTATTATTATTTCACTTCACGTACACAATAACAATATTTCCTCAAGTAACTAGGCACCACGGCTAATTGCAAAGTAAACCTTCATTACAGTCTAAATTACCACTCTGTGAAAATATCCAACTCACAGCTGTTCTCACAGAAGTTCCAATATAATATAGGCTAAGTAGCTTGCATCTAAAGAAGATGAAGTGTTGACTATTGAAGGAATTACAATTTCTTGATTCTGGGTAAAAATTTGGCCACTAGAAATGTATAATAACCGAAACTATTTGCCACTAATAGGCTATTCCCTTGGAGCTAAAACGAAGTTTAATCTTATAGCGATATACTATAGGAGTATAGCCTATAGGCCACGCTTTGTGTTCCTCGAGGCAACCGTCTTTTATTTCCTTGTGTCAAAAATAATAATAGCTTACACCTAAACCTCGATTGTATTTTGTGAGGGCCTTGTTTTTGTTGTTAAACGTATCAGGAAATACAAAATGTAGGCTAGACTAACCTAAATCCCTGACAAAAACTGCACTGGGCGCGCGAGCTGTCCATGGTTCTGAAAATAACGCTCAAGAGCCCGGGTAATAACGTTCTACAGCGATTTGCTTGAAACCAGATGCAAGAAACGTGTCCCAAAATGATGTTATTCAAGACAGAGCTGACAAAACCAGGATGTTATGAGATAAAATTGTCCAGAAACGAACGGACGCAACTAATAAAAATAAAAATAGAGATTAAAACAGCTTTTACCTTGTTGCGTCGTTGCTATTGTTATCAACGTTCTACAGATGCCGCAGAATATTGATGTCTGACTGATGGTTAGGCCTAATGCTGTCTTTCTGAGCAGGGGCTAGTGGCTGTTTCGTCAAATTTACGCTATAGTGGCCTGGAAATGAGATGACATTGCTAACGTAGACAAATAATTAGTAGAAAACAACTTTGCCATCATTATAATGTCGTTAAATTTACTTTGCTAGCTCATGGCAACATTGTCATCTATCTAAAGTTCGTCAGAAATATCTAGCAATGCTAACGTTAGCTAGCTAAAATTTCTTTGCTCTCCCATTAACATTAGCTAGCTAGCGTTATAATGCATCTAAAGTCAATCTGGAGACATCACAATGATGACTTGTCCTACTAATCCTTTAAAAATGTAATCGTGTTTCCCAGCCACAGTTATGCACTTTAGACGAAATCTTCATCAGCACCCATTGAGACTGCATTGAGTAGAACGCTCAGCTGGGCATCAGCCTTAAAACTAATGTTCAAAACAAGATTGGGACGAAACGTGCAACCCATGCCTACAAAGTTGCATTAATAAATCGACTTGGATAGTTAGTATAATTTAAATTCCATGAGTGTAAGTCTACATAATATCTGACAATTACAGATTGTACGTGGAAATATTAAGGACATCTTAATGTAGGCCTAGGAAGCCGATATAATTCATGAAAATAAAAATTGCCTAAATATGAGTGTATTTATTCCTACTCACTGTATAAAAAGCAACATTACATTTTTCATGCATACATTTGACTGAATTATTATGCACGGTAAGCTACACAAATGATAATGTACATATGCAATGAGCCACACATAAAACTCTCAATGGGCCAGATGAAATGATACAAGACGTAGGCTATTTTATTAGGCAATGACTTTGGTCCTTAAAATCTAATAACGTTTTGTTAAGTTTTCCTATTGGAGTGGGCCTATATTCGTGCGTTCTCATGCGTAATGAACATGGAATTATGATTTTAGCTTTATTATACCCTCACAAATAAACTATTTTTTACAACATAATTACTTCTATATCGATATTAGGTGATAGCTGGGCCTATTTCAAACAACATGACCAATGGTAGGCCCTAATGGTTTATTTTGTTGCCTTTACATTCCATATGGCTCAGTTGTCAAAATAGCTCACGAGATTAATTCAGTAATAGCTCGACATTGCAGTTGGTTTGGGTCGTTCTCTGATGCATCGTCGTTCATTACCACGTAGACCTTCTCACGATGATAGTGCAATGAAACCAAATCCATTATTATTAACCAATTTCTGAATTATTTATTGCGATGAGGGTTTATTAACCAGCAATGAAAAATTCAGAGGAGTCGTTCACATGTGAAACAGTAACTGCGGTAATCATTATTATTGCACCGATGAATTTGGTTTCAATATATAATTTACATAAAATAAGAATTAGCGAAATGACGAGCCCTTTATAAAGCCTATAGCCAATGATAACAATAATATGAAGCCAGTGGGTAAGAATAGCCTACATCTGGGATGTTTCGAATGAGAAGGCGCATGCAGCTTGTGCTGTTCTCTTGTGAAATGGGCCTGTCAGAGTTTCAAGTCTTAATGGCGGAAGCGCTGAACGTGTACTCTGTCTTTTAAACAGAATGAGAAATTGCATTTTCTTTCCTTTGAAGTGTAATGCATTTGAGGCCTGATTTCATGGCTGGCTGCTCTGGGGGATAGACTGAGATTGGGCCTCTTAATACTACGGCCCAGTTTTTCAACCAAATCTTCACATTAATCATCGGCGTTAACCGGGTTAGGCCTACTATGAGATCTATATAGAAAGTCTCTCAAGGACCCGCAGAATAAACACTGGTTGTACCATTTACAACTGAGGCATGGGTCACGTTAACGCCTTTATTTCTGAAATACTAATATTATTGCTGTTTTGTGTAGGCCAATAGTCAGTGTTTATATCCATGTTAAACAGCAAATTATATAAGCTAAGTTTGATAGTACGAAAAAGTTCGAAAAAGGTACTGTAAGTCGCTCTGTAAAAGAGCGTCTGCTAAATGACTAAAATGTTAATTATAGACTATTTTATAATATTCTATATAATAAACTGGTTTCGGCTAGCCTATTTAAAATTCATACCAAAATAATGGGCTATAGGCCTCATAACAGTTACAATCACATATTTCCAGCTGACTGGACCACCTCCTCATTTTTATTTTATGATATCCATGGACTAATGCAAGCATGCCACAGACCATTTACGGACATGGATTTGGTGTTATGTCATGGAAGCTATCAAATCCTTCGTTATTGCATGTCATTTCATCCGTTATATCATATCTAGTGTTATTCAGGGAATCCGCTGATATAAAGAAGATTTGTAATGGAGATATCTGTGTTATGGGCGTAAAAGTGAGCGTATTCAGAAATGTACAGTAGCCTACTCATTGTGTCTCACATTGATGACACTGTAGCCAGATTCTAACCCATCTCTCTCCCTCTCCCTCTCTCTCTTCTCCAGGTTTGGTTCCAGAACCGACGCGCCAAGTGGAAGAAGCGCAAGAAGACCACCAACGTTTTCCGCGCTCCGGGAACGCTGCTGCCCACCCACCACGGCCTGCACAGCCAGTTCAACTCTGCCGCGGCCGCCGCCGCCGCCATGGGCGACAGCCTGTGCTCCTTCCACGCCAATGACACCCGCTGGGCCACGGCAGGGATGCCAGGCGTCTCTCAGCTACAGCTCCCTCCAGCCTGGGTCGCCAGCACCAGCATGCCATGGCGCAGTCCTTGTCCCAGTGCAGCCTGTCCGGCCCGCCGCCCAACTCCATGGGGCTATCCAACATGTCGTCGAACGGATCCGGGCTCCAGTCTCATCTCTACCAGAACCCGTTCCCCGGGATGGTCCCGGCCTCCCTGTCCGGTCCCACCAACGTGACGAGCTCTCCCCAGCTGTGTAGCTCCCCGGAAAATGACGTCTGGAGAGGGACGAGCATCGCCTCCCTGCGGCGAAAAGCGCTGGAGCACACAGTATCCATGAGTTTTACTTAG